TACAGATAGAGAGGAATTGAACATAAAGTGGCAGCCTTTGCGGATGACCTGTTGTTCTATTTGGGAAATCCTAGGATAACACTCCCAAATTTAATGAAGAGCTTAAAGGAGTATGGGGAGCTATCAAATTTGAAGATCAACCCAACAAAAACTGAGATCTTAAATGTAAATCTTCCGAATAGTGAAAAAGAAAAGATACAAAAAGAATTCCCTTTTATATGGAAAGATAGAGAGATAAAATATCTAGGGGTTAAACTCACTGCTTCATATACGAAACTGTATAAATTTAATTATATCCGTCTTGGATAGGGCGTATAAATCTGCAAAAAAATGGTAATTGTACCTAAAATCCTGTATAAATTTCAGATGATCCCAGTTACACTTCCGGAGGATTTTTTCAAGGTAATTAAAAAGATGTTAACAAGATATATATGGAAAAATAAAAAAACCTAGAATATCTTATGGTTGGTTGAATAGAAATAAAGAGAGGGGAGGATTGGGAGTGCCAGATTTTAAGAGGTATTATAGAGCAGTAGTTCTAGCAAACATTTATGACTGGACACACAATCCAGAGGGGAAAAGGTGGGTTAAGATTGAAAATGATTTAAGTGGAGTTGACTTGAGTAAAATCATATGGGTACCAGTACAATACAGAGGATTAAAAGATACCACGAGTGTTTATACATTAAATGTTTTAAAGGTTTGGGATAAATTGCACAAGCTTATGAAATGGGATTTTAATTCACAATTAATTTCACTGAGGAACACGGAATATTTTCCTCCAGGTAGGGAGGAGAGCACAGGAAAATGGTTTAAAAAGGAGAATATTCAACTGAGGGATATTATGGAAGGGCAGGAATTGAGAACACTTAAGGATTTGAAAAAGGATAAAAGGGAACTTTTTATTAAGATTGATGAGTGGAGATATCACCAATTAAAACACTTTGTCGGGAATCTTCCGAAACCTTTGAGAATGAGAAAGGATTGGAATCTGTTTGAGAGGCTGTTGGAATCACGTGGAGATGGGAAACGGGGCACAGCAAAAGTGTATAAGATTCTCACTGAGCTAGACACACACACAAAGTCAATGCACATAGTAAAATGGGAAAGCGATATAGGAATAGAGATAGATGAAGATAAACAAAGGAAAATATATAGACTAACGCACGAGAATATAAGCATGAGAGAGGTGGAGGTAAATTATAAGTGTTCAACAAGATGGCACATTGCACCGAATGTTGAATATAAGATGAGTGGGGAGAATACACCAGAGTGTTGGCGGGGGTGTGGGAAGATAGGTACGTTATATCATATATGGTGGGAGTGCCCAAAGATTCAAGGTTTCTGGGAGACAATAGTTCATTTGATTGGGATGGTCTCTGGGACAAAGTTAGGTTTGGACCCAGAGTTGTGTCTACTACATAGTTCAGAGCTATCAGTGAATAAATACAAGGATTCGGGTATATGGTACTATCTGAATGCGGCAAAGGGTCTTATACCTAACTTTTTGGCATAGTTCAGAGGTGCCGAGAGAGAAGAGGATTGGGTGGAAAGAGTGAACCAGATAAATAGGATGGAGAAATTGTATTATATGCAAGAAGACAAGATGGGGTTATACTATAGGAGGTGAGGAAAATGGGAAGATTTTGTGTCCAAGGTGAAAAATATGAAGTAGTAGAGTGGGATAGCAGAAAGTACATATTATTTAGGAAAAGATGTAATGAGAAATGCAGAGTGGGTGGTTTTACTCGTGGGGAAAGGTTGGTTTTTCGGGGAGGGTGGGGGTATTAGTTAGGGGGCATGAAGGAAATAAAGATAGAAGGGGGATAAAGATTGAAAGGGATATAATTAAGGGTTGGGATATATCTGAAGGTTTTGTATGTTATATGAGAGTAATGATGAAATTTGTATTTTATATGGAAAATGAATAAATATTTAAATTAAAAAAAAAAATGGAAGTCTCTCTCTGAGCCCAGACCCTCAACAATAGGGGTGGAGGCTGAAAAGGACTGACAGCAGGACTGAGAACAGGAAACAAACTTAGGAGTGTGTTCTGTCAACCAAACCCACAAACTTCACAGGGGGAAAGTTACATCCAAAGAAGCATAGGGTACAATTTCTTGGCAAGGGTTTTAGCTGTCTCACCTGCTGATAACTGATTGTTACCCACAATAGAACCTGTGAGGCCCTATGCAGTCGAATCTTGCAGGTGTTAGACCTTGTTGAAGGGTTTCTGAAAAACGTTGACCCTCTTTAGGAAAGGTCATCTGAGCATCCCACATTGGGAAAGGCACTAGGGTGGAAACAAGGCGTCATGCTTGAAAAATAGTAGCAGGTGCCTCCGAAAAGACACTTACGGCAGGGAAAAGTAGAAACTGGTCTCAGGCAACCATGTAGGTTAGGGAGTTCGAGACCAGGTACCATGAGGGATTCAACATTACCCAAGGATATAGGAGGAAGTGGGTACCCACAGAGGGTGCAACTCCAGAAGCTGAGTCTCCACTTTAACAGGGGCAAAAGGTCCCAGGGTGCAGGAAACCCTAGAAGGCCTAAGAAGTTACATGCATGTGCAGTATCAAAAAGAAAGATAGTGAGGGGCAACTGTAGGAGTAGGAGGATCTAGACACAAGGAGTTAGCTTGTGGATTAAATGGGGTGTTCTCAGCACCCAAATGCTTAGGAGGCATGGTACCTAAAAAAAACACCTGGATATACAAACAGTCCCTCACTGAACTGTAGGAGCTCTGAAAGACCCTAGGTCTAGAAAAGCAGGCCGATCCTCCATGTGCAGGGTAATTCATACTGCATCAATAAAGATTGTAAATCCGAGTCAATGGCAGAGGACTATGGTGCCTCAAAAACATTCCCTTCATAGACTGTTGGAACTCTTAATACGAGTCAGAAAATGGCAGGGCCTTACTTGATTTTAGGGCTCAGGAGGGTCAGAGACAGACTCTGCAGGGGATGGTGCCACAGCATGCTCAGCGTTCTACTGTAGGCAAAATGCCCCAATAGCTAAGCACAAACAGCTATAAAGTATCCTTGTGGACATGGGGAAGGACTCATCCTCACCAGTGGGAGCTGAGGAAGACTCTGATGGTAACAAACCTATAGAAATATGGGTCTCTGTTTCCAGATTACAAGTCATGATTAACGAGTAAACACCCCTTGAACCGCTGGGAAAGTATGGGCCGAGCTCACACATGCAGCTGGACTGTCCTCTGCATGTCTTAGTGAAGACATATTTCATTTGCACAGTGATAGGGTTAATGTAACTATGCCCAATGTGAAGCAGATACTCCAAACCTGGGCAGCTGGTGCTGATGAAGATTTCAGGCGGCTGTAGATGACCAGGAGATTGTAGGCGGGCAGTGAAAAGAAACTAGAAACTGGAGATTCATGTCATTTTCAGGAGCAGAAACAGCAGAGGGATGGTACTTCCTTTAGGCTAAATGGTGAAAGCAAGAGCACACAGCACCCAATGAATGTCAGCGCTTGGTCCTTTAGCCTTAACCCTGCAGTCAAACTGGCAGTGGCTGGAAATTTTAAAATATGCCCAAAGATGCAAACAATGAGGTAGCTCCTGATGCTTCAACCCACCTAGTTCTACTCACTCCATAAGTTTTCAGAAACTGGGTCACAGCTGAGGCTGTACCATGGCTCTGGATGTTGGGAAAGCGCTCCATGGCTAACACAGTACATTCAGGTCTAGAGAGTGATACAATGCAGATCCCAGTGCTTGAATGTCACTTTTGAGACTGTCTGCACACATCTAGTGCAGCAGCGGTGTCAGTGAGAAATCTTGGTTGAAATCACAGATGAAAAAAATTGCTAAGAAGCAAAGAGGCTTACAAAAAATTGATTTTTTTCAGCAAAGCTGAAGAAAAGATGTCCAACCTCCTAGGACACTAGTACAGGACCAAGGTATGCTGAGTAAAGGAGGGGTTATATGGGAACTGGCAGGGCCAGATCTAGGGGGGTGCAAAAGAGGACTGTATCCCCCAGATTTTAGTTGTGCACCCCCTGGACCAGTGACATTGGTATCCTGAAGTGGAAGGGCTGTGGGAACTCTGATATGAAGTGGGGACTCTAATGTGAATGGAGGGACTCTGGTGTGATAGACTCTGATATAATGAAGGGACTCTGAAGTTAAGGGCTATCTCTGATGTACGGGGGGGACCTGTGATGTGAAAGGGGCTGCCTGTGATGTGATGGGGCACTTTGATGTGAAGGTGAAACGCTGATGTGAAAAGAGGACTTCCCTATGTGGTGCCAAGGAGAGGGTGACATCATCCTCCTGAGCAGATGTCAGTGTTCTTTAACCCTATGAATACAGTTTGGAACTTGGGTGCCTCATGACTTTGCATACTTTTAAAGGGTGCCATGACTGAAAAGAGGTTGAAAACCGTTGGCCTAATGCATGTGCATTTTGTCATGGTCACTCCTGCATCGCCTCAGCACTATCCACAAGCAATGTCAGATGTTACTTCTAGATCATGACTCGTGATACCGACATGCACTGTGAATAGAGTGAATAGAGAATACCGGTTCCCTGCATCTTTGTCACACTGTGTGAAAGACTGTCAGTAACTCATACACAGCCAATGCAAGGGGGAGACCTGGTTAGACAGAAAAACAGGGAGAGTTAGATGGAAAGAATAAAATGAAGGTGTGCTAACAGTATGCCCCAACGTTCTTTTACTTCACCCACAGATCAGAAAGGCTAGATCCGGCCCTAGGAACTAGCTTACAATTGTACTGTTTGCTAGTGTCAAAAACAATTGTAGGCAGCAGTATAACCCAACTGTTTCTGAATACCTATGTTCTTTAATGAACAATAAAATAAAAAATCACTTCTCATAGGCACAAATTGATATCTAAGCACATAACCTTGGCCAGATTCTGGCTATGTCAGTTACAAAGTCACAGGATGAACAAAGAAGGTAAGTAATAACTTCTTACCTCAACAGTGATGGGAAGGTAATTGTAAACTGTGAGCGGAATTTTGACTTGCTCCCCTCTTATCACATGGTATGGCAGTGTGAAATCAATGAAGAATGATTTGAATGTTTTCAGATATGCTGATCTGGCAACTCCAAGTCCTGTTTCTTCAGACATACCAATGGCCTCTGTTACCCATGTAGTTATAGAGTCTGGGACCTCTATATGCAGTTCAGTCTCACCAGAAGTATCACTGGGAAGACAGAAAAGGTTCATGCATCTGTGTAAATCAAAATAGCTCCTATTGTGATATTTAGTCCCACTTTATAGTAAACTAATTAGCAGATACATTCATTCCATCAGGCTTTACCACCACGTTACATTCCCTGACCACACCACTCCTCTTTCATCCTCTGGAAAGCCCATACAAGACAACTCAAACATTGCCACCTCCTACTTTCATATAAGAAATTCGACAGTGCCCAATGAACTAAACTGTCTTCGCTACAACTCTGCATAGAATACTTGGTGACACCTGATCATAACAGTATAATTTATTGCCCTTTCTTGTTCCCTTGACCAATTTTTCAGATGGCAGGCCCCTGCTGTACAAAGTCAGAAGTCAGAAATTTAGAACTGGTTAGAACATGGAGGGTTAACTATGTACAACTACAGGTTCTACAATTTGTGCTGTTCAGATTTCAGATTACTAAGGAGTCTCAAGATGCTCCGTTCCTGCACTGCATAAATTGCAATTAAAAAATAATATCATACTAACTCCATAACTGCCACCACTACCTGATTTCCAGGAACAGTCAAAATTCTGAAATCCTCATTGTCTGAAATTGTAACCTCTGCAAATGTCTGGTTTTCCTTGTTTTGGTTACTTTGGATTTTTTAAGAAATTATATTTTGACAAAAAGCATACATTATAGGGTAAACAGTAATTTGTAAGTCTCTAAAGCTGGCTATATACAGGCAGATATGAATCCACAAAAGACACAAACCCAGTCACAAACTGTGATGAGGATCCTGAAACATAAGACTACCCTAAAAAAGAAAGCAGCACAGACACTGTTTTCCACTTCTACCCTTCCTCTAAATGGCAGGATCAGCTTCATCACCCAATGATTCAATTTAAAAAAAATTGGAAAACCTACACGAGCGATGGTTTCTGCCACTAACAGTACTTATCACTGACTCTTAAATTATCCCTAAATGATCCACAATCAGGAGTGAGATTAGAGTGTGTTTACCATAAAACAATATTGTAAGGGATCACATGATTTACATGAGTTAAAGAAAAACATATTTAACTGTTTACAGGAAGCAAAATAATACAACATTTTACAGACTGTCATCCAATGTGAAAGGTTTTGTAATTTTAGTCTAGTTTACCTGACATTGAAGCAGTGCCAGACCAGGGTTTCAGGAAAGAAAGTCCTTTTTCTTCTCTCAAATCTGTAAGAAAATCAGTCATAATTATAGACAAATGTTAAAAAGTGTCAGGTTTTTTTTTACATGGCACTTAGCACTGTGTAAACTCATGTCTTGGATCCAGGCCCTTCTCTGTTCTACTTTTCTAATATATTAGAGAGGTGAAGACAGAGAAGAGCAGGCAATAGATCAAGTGTCAAACACCCGACTCATGAGGCCATTTTTTTTGGCCCTCGTGCTTCTACTGCAGCTCCTACACTTCTTCTCTGCCCCCACCTTGTCTCAGCAGTCATCAGCAGAGAGAAGGACAGAACTCCTCCACCAGACCTTATGTTTTCCTGTGCAGCCGCAGCACCCCCTCACATCTCTGCCTTCCCTGGTCTCAGCATTCAGAAGACTCCAGCAGCCCTCCTCTGGTCCTCCTCCAGACCCTGCACTTTCTGCTTCCCATCTCTGCCCCCAGCTTCTTTCCCGCAGCTGCACAAAGTAAGGAGGTGCACTGTGATGTAAGGGAGAGTGAGGGACTCTTGACTTCTGGGTGGGGGGCAGAGGCGTTCCTAGGGTTGGTGTCACCCGGTGCGGTAACACTTGGTGACACCTCCTCCGTCGATCCTACAGAATGGATCGGATCTGCAGACTGAGCATAATGGATCGGACTCCGATCCATTATGCTCAATCCACAGATCCGATCCATCCTGCGGGATCGTCGGAGGGGGTGTCACCAAGGCTTTCTTTACAACTAACCTTTTCTTGGAGCGGGTCCGTAGTGGCAAGATGTGTCTCCCATGTAGATATGTCCCCCCTGAAGCAACTAGCATGTCCCGGTTTCAGGCACGATCAATGGATGATAGAACTACTGTATCCAACCATGTACCTTCTGGTGAAGTAACCCCTTCCATGCCAATTTGCTTCAAGGGGGACATATCTACATGGGAGACACATCTTGCTGCTACAAAGGCCCCCCCATATCACTGACCCCCCCCCCCCCCCCCACATGTCACTGTCTTCTCCATGTTACTGTCCGCCCCACATGTGTCTGTACTCCCAATGTCACTCCCCCCCATGTAACTGTCCTCTCTCCGATCCATTATGCTCCCAAATAATCAGCTGTGCAGCCTAAAAGGGGTTAACTGTGGCAGCTCTGTACTACAGCTGGTGATCGGTGATCGGCTTCTTATGTCTGAAACCGGGACATGCGCAGTTGCTTCGGGAGGACATATCTACATTATTATTATTATTATTATACAGTATTTATATAGCGCCAACAGTTTTCTCAGTGCTGTACATTATAATGGGAGACAGTACACGAGACAGCACAGTAACAATACAATACAATACATAAGGGGTTCGAGGGCCCTGCTCCTTGGAGCTTACAATCTAGGAGGGAGGGGATGGGAGACACATCTTGCCGCTACACCGGTGTCACCCTGTATAGGTTGCATGCCGACGATCCCCACAGGATCCTTGGCATGCAACATACACGGGGTGACACCAGACCCGCTCCAAGAAAAGGTAAGTTGTAAAGAAAGCCGACGATCCAAGCAGGATGGATTGTATCCATCCTGCAGGGATCGTCAGCTTGCTTTAAAGCTTACCTTTTTGTGGAGCGGGTCCGGTGTCACAACATGCGGTAGGTGTCACCGGTGCGGACCGCACCCCCCGCACCTGCCTCGGGACACCACTGTTGGGGGGCTCTTGACATCAGATGTAAAGGAGGTGGGGTGCTCTGGACATCTGCTTATAAATATTATGAGAATAATACAATGCTATGCCAGCTGAAATGGAGGGTCTCACACCCTTGGTATCATCCACAAGAAACGTTATTGGAGACTGCTCAGACAGAACAACATAGCAGAAACGTGTTCTGTCTGAGCAGTCTCCAGTAAAGTTTCTTGTGGGTGATACCAGTGGTGTGTAACCCTCACTTTTAGACTTGTATCATATCCTACAGGAGTATGAGTGGGCTCTCTGCCAGTCTGCACCTGCCCTTCACAGCCTAAGTGTTAAGTTATTACTAAAACCAGTACTAATGGAATGCAGAGGGTATCATTTAATATGATAAAGAATAGATAAATTTATATAGTCTTACAGATACAAATGGCCTTTTGAGGGCAACTGGAATGCTGATGTGGCTCGTAATGAAATTGAGTTTGACACCCTTGCACTAGATAATAGAAATGTGATAATTAGATCTATCCCCAGTGTCACTGGACAATAATTGGAGATAGTGCTCAGGATACATAGCCTTTGTCAATTTTAATATAAATCACTAGAGATAAACTGGTACATTTGGACCTTGCTATTTGATTGACAGTAATTGGTGTGGTATTCTTTGCTGAAAAAGCAAGTTTCTGTTAACTTACCGGGGTGCTACTCTGTTATGAGACGATGTCACCAGTGTTCCTGTGTGCGGCTGGAAAGCTGGAACTGCCTCATCTGTGTACATTCCATCGCTCTGTCTGTAATTTAGACTTACCACATCTGTCATCACAACCAATCCTGTCTCCTGGACAGGCATCAAGGAAAAGAAAAACATTTGTTAGTTTCTTGGACCCCTACTTTGTAGAAGCACAGGACTTTCCTTTCAACTGATTATCTTGCTACGGAGGCTGCACCTTACACAAGTATTGAGGATGAAGCGAGTGCACGTGCATGTGTGTGTATATATAATGAATTTGGGAGGAAACATTGTAAGATATTTACTTGCTTGTACACCACAAGAGTTCGCTCAGTAGCCATACCAGAGAAACTTACAAGATCATGACACACTGGGGTTGATTTACTAAAACTGGAGAGTGCAAAATCTGGTGCAACTGTGCATGGTAGACAATCAGCTTATAACTTCAGCTTGTTCAATTAAACTTTGACAAAAAAAAATGGAAGCTGATTGGTTTCTATGCAGAGCTGCACCAGATTTTGCATTCTTCAGTTTTAGTAAATCGACCCCTCTGGTACAGAATTCTAGTCGTCCTAAACAATATAACCAACAAATACCCCTAATGTGCTGGAACTGCCAAAAAGAAAAGGGCATATTTTTATACATCTTCTGGTTTTGCCCAGCCATACAGACATTCTGGAAAGATATCCATAATATACTGACTAATAGTTTAGGAGTTAGCTTCAGACCTTCACCAGAGTTTTATCTCATCCATGTTCATACACAATTCTGCCCTGCCCCATAAAACAAAATCTCTCCATATACATTTAAATAACACAGCTCAGGCTGTGATACTTAGACCTGCTCTCCACACATATACGTTCCGTAAAGAAACAGATGAATCAGCTTAAATACATCTGTGAGATGGAAGAACTGATGTTCACAAAAACAAAACAGACTTGACACCTTCAATTCAATGTGATACTACTGGAAATACTTCATTTACTCTCAGGACTACAAGAAAATATTGCTTTGGTGGACACGAGCGAGCTGACACCACCTTTGATCAGGGACATGAGGGTTCCATTTTTTTCTATTTAAATCGAAACCGTGATGTAATAGCAACATTACCTTAAGACCTCCCCTTTTTTTTCCTTGCTCACAACCTTCTTTCCTCAGCATTCTCCCTTCTCTCTCCTTTTATATGTACCTCCTGCTGTCCTCATAAACATCAAGCTTGTCCCCATAGGTGCACAACACAGCATTAAATCTCAGCTTGGAAGGCTACTTTCTACTACTCCCCCATTACTCCACATGGGATGGCATGTATTTAGGCAGGGTTGATAAAAAGCTGAATTAGGAAAAGAGTGCATACCAGTAGGGCAAAGCCTATCCTTTCCCCATCTCTCCTCCTTGGCTTTTATTTTTGTGATGTACTGTACTTGACACAACAAATTGTCTACATTGTATATGTCATAATCTAAGAAGAATGCACTATGTACTGGATAATGTGGCAATATACAGCACAGCATTCCTGTTGTAAAACTGTTTTTTATAATGGTAAAACCTAAACAATGAATAAAAGAAAAACAAACGCAGACAATATATCAGTCTTATTGTCATTTGATTTCCTTATTACTTCCTGGTTTTATAGTTTTTACAATGCTTTCTTCACTTTTTTGTGCAAACTATAAGGGCCTAGACACAGCCTATTTTTACTTCTATTAGCCTCACTTACTGTGAAAGCAAACCTAGCATCCTTGGTAATATCCCAATGCCATGAAAAAACTGATGAGCGTCGTTTCCTCTGAGAACCCAGACCTGGCCACCAAAAATGTCCATCATCCTTTCCAGTCCCAAAAGCATCTGAAACATCAAAAGTGGCAAGTTCCTGGAATATCTGCAAAAGCCAAGTGAAACAATGTTTAGTACTATTATTAAATAACAATTTCATATCCTCATGTATTATAGCTATTAGATGTTCACTAACCTATAACCCCCATTTTGACAGATTAGGACAATGAATAAGATAATTGTGCAGCACTTAAGTAGTACCAAGAATAAATATGTCCTAAATAAATCAAGAGGGCGTCCAATTGATAATTCAAATATGTGCGTTAAAGGAATTGCTCTGATGATACAATATATAGAAAAAGTAAAGTTCAAATGGATGTGATCACAGTTCCAATAAACATCAACGCTTTCAATGATTATAACCAAGGTGACTCTGTTATACCCAGTTGTACATGATTCAGTGTTCAGGTGAAGTGCGGGGTATAGGTAAAATGCACACTCTCCAGATGCGCATTTATAGAGCGCGTTGTATACAGTAAATGGCGGTCTGCCAGGAATCCCTTCTAGGGTGGTACCGGATGCAGCCTGAGTTAGGCGGTCTTCATCTGGATTATAGGATGGTAAAAAAGCCAGAGGTCCCCTTTAAGGATGTGACACAGTGGATCAACCTCTTCTAGGCACTGGGATGGTCACCAAGGAATCTCTGGGGGATTAAGCGCTCAGTGCAGAGCAGTGCCTCCAGACAACTAGACCAGTCATAGCCCCCCAACCTCCAAAAATGAGATCCTTTGTAAATCCTGCACCTGAGGGATTTACAAAGGATCTCACTTTTGGAGGTTCAAGGGCTATGACTGGTCTAGTTGTCTGGAGGCACTGCTCTGCACTGAGCGCTTAATCCCCCAGAGATTCCTTGGTGACCATCCCAGTGCCTAGAAGAGGTTGATCCACTGTGTCACATCCTTAAAGGGGACCTCTGGCTTTTTTAACACACACCACTCTATAGAACTATAGGTACAAAGCCTGTTGTACAAGCTGCCTTTCCTTCAATTTTGTTTACACAGCAACAGGGTCACAATAACCCTTGAATATCAACATAACTCCTAAACCAGTAGCATGATGACTCTAGAACCAAAATTATGTTCATAACTGTTTGAAGTTGTTTATATAACACATTGCAATTTCAGTAAGCCTTGATATAGTAGCTAACCTTTTCAGGAGTTATCTTGAAGCCATTACCCAGGAGATGTGCACTCTTATCCACTATAGATACACACACACAGCTTCCTCTGGTAGCCTTAACTTTAAGATCTACAGCATCACCTGGTCTAGAGTCATTGGTGGAGAGTGACACTGACACCTGTGGAACATAAAACAGCAGTGAGCAATCAGAAATGTTAGCTATTTCATGTAAGTAGGTCAAAGAACCAAAACATATTATCACAATTAAATACAGTATAAAACTACAAAATATAAGGAGGATAGGAATCGCATTTCCTCAAGCCTCCTCCCATCTTGGAATTTTTTGTACCTCAGTGACTCTATCTATACCATTGATACAGAATATATTCATGTTTAACCAACATCAGACCTACTCCCCAGCTAAAATCTAGTACACGTGATCAGAAAATCGTATGAAAAATACCGCTTTCGAAGCGATCGTACGACAATCATTAGTGCACAGCTTTAGTCCAAAATTATTTGAAGGGACAAGCACGAAAATTTTTCACGTACGAGTTTTTTTTCCGAAAATACATTAAAAATACATTACATCACTTCTGAATTTTTCTTCTGTCGTACAAGAATTTCTGTAACTTTAATAACCTTTTTAATAACTGCATTTTTATCTGCCTGAAGTTCAGCTTTACTGTATATATATATATCAAAATATATTTAAGTTATCATCATGTTATCATCATACACTTTACCTTGTTCTCAAAGGCTGGTGCAATCGGTATCTGGGCACTGTCAGTAATTCCCTCTCCATTCTCCCTCACATAATAAACCAAGAGTCGACTTAAAGGAGCCATATTATGAGTTACAAGAAAATGTACATATGTCAGCCACACTTCAGAATCAGGAGGTGAATGGTCTGTTGACTCTAACAGAAACAAAAATGGACATTTAATATGAATACTGCCAAGCACACCATACTGTATACAACAAAATAAAGTTTATCTAAACCCAAAAACAAAATAAATAATATACTGCAACTTATAAATCTTCGTCACAACCAGAAATTACACTTTGTTAACATTTAGCATCATGTTGCAAGGTGCACGTTACAATAATAATTGTGCAAAGATATTCAATAAAATAACATTTACATTTAATATACAGCAGTTGTCTTTGTTTTCATATTATCATGTATAATACTAGCAATAACAACCAACTCCAATAAACATGGGGAGCTGATAAACCACAATTCTGTGGCACATAGTCTTCAAATAATAGGATTTTTGTCTTAGCTGTAAAATAATTTTCTTGGAGTACATTACAGGACACGGGTTCTTAATCTTGGACCATGGATTATGCAGCTACCTTCAGGTGACTGGACACTGGTAAAGAAAGCTGTAAGGACAGCCTTAGCAAAAACACCTCCCACTCACACCAAGCCTCAGTTTAACAGCAAGCAACAACGAATAAATCATAAGAAACAGGAGGGAAAAACCTTGGCCCTTTGATGTATTCCAAAAAAAAAAGGATTTTACAGGTGAATCAAAAATCCTATTTTCTTAATCATACATTACAGTGTGCAGGATCTTAGTCTTGGACCGTGTGACATTCCAAAAGCATTGCAACACCAACAGACCCACGCAGTAAATGAGCAAACAGAGGGCTCAATAACTCAGCGAGCAGTGTGAAGCCCCCTACCCCAGAAATTTGGCCTAAAAAACCGTCTGGTAAAACGTAAAAGACAAGTTCACCTTTTGGTAAAAAATAATAAATGCACAGAATCAATGAACTACCACAGCGCTTGGTAGTTCATTCAAAACTACGAGCTGACAGCTGCTAAGGCTGTCGGGAGTTATAGTTTCTCATTCACAGAAGAGTGACGCAACTGGGTGGGGGAGCAGTGGGGAGCAGGGGCCAGTGCTTTTATAACATGTTACACCCTGAATATGGGTGTAACATTTAACATGTTATGAAAGGTGAACTTACAAAGTTCCTTTAAACATGTATACAGAAGACAAGGTTGCAGCCTAACAAATCTTTGAATAGATGCCGGATTTTGAAAAGCCCATGAAGCACTGATAGAGCTGGTGAGTGTGTGTTAATAGAAAATTATGGAATTTTATCCATCAGACTTTAGGTTTGAATGATGACTTGATGGCAATATTGCAATGAGAGGGAGGATATCCTCTACCTGGACCCTCAGGAATGACAAAGAGTAAATATAATTGTCTAAAAGAAGCTACAGCTGAGAAATAGACTTGCAAAGAATGAACCACATCCAGACAATGGAGAAATCTCCCCGGAAAGGTTTCAGAGCAGGGGAAGAACAACGTCCTGGTTACAGTGGAAAGAGGAAACCATCTTGAGAAGAAAGGAGGCCTTAGGCTGCAAAACAATCTTATCCCTGTGTAACACTAGGAATGGCTTCTCACAGGATAGGGTCGTTAAGCCTGAGACATGTCTTACATGGATGATAGCAACGAGGAAAACAACCTTGTGAGTAAGGGAAGACAGGAAAACATTTCTAATAGGCTCAAACGGTGGTTTCTGAAGAACTAACAAAACCAAATTGAGGTTCCTTACTGGGGAAAGCACAGGAGCAATATGTCCATAACTGGTTCGTTATTGGCAGGAAGTGTTTGATAATATTAGTTGCGTATTCCATTTTCAATGCACACCTGAAGCAAAAATAGGAATTTTGAAACTCCAAGAGGAAGACCCACATTTTTTAAATAACAGTAATTAGACGCATCACCCCTACTGCTGACGTGTGTTTACACGAAACGCGTCTAGGAGGAGCCCTCACACGCCTTGACGTCACGCCGCCGTATCAGGAGGTCCGGCGACCCACACTTGATTTGTACTGGTCAGTGCTTGTTTAGGTGCTTCTTATGATTGCTCACAGCAGTCTCTTGTAACCTCTTTAGTTGCTTATGTACGTCATTGTTCTTATTTGATACAATAAATTTATTATTCATATTACTACACTATGAGCACCTTTATTTCACATACCTGGCACTGACTCTCCATACCTCAGCACCAGTATTTCAGGCACTGCTGCAGACCTGAGGATTAAGCACCTTGTGATCAGACCTGTATCCTTCCCGTATACCACTGAGGGATCACCAGAGGATCTTGGCACCAGGCTGTTTCCACCCAGGACCCCAGGATGCACGTGATCTAGATATGCGCAATGATATTGTGCTTCTGGTGAGTAGGCAATCTATTCATACCTCTACAACAGAAGATTGGATCATACTCACAGAGATTGATATTTTATGGTGGACTACATAACTCTTATTAAGATAATATAAGTGGACTTATATCAGTCACATATTCTGTTATGATAAAGGTTTTATATTTGATTTAGCGCTGCACTCCCTGTGTTTTGATTTTAGTAGAAAGGCCTTGTGGTTCCTTTTAGTGCATTAGTCGCTTTTTTGAGTGCGCTCACTGACTTACATATATGTATTATATTGGCAATTATTCATTTAGCTGTGCACTACGTTTATGATTTGTTTATTTGAGAACGTTTGTGGTTACTTTTTTGGTGCATTAGCTGCTTTAGTAAGCGTCTTCTTCACACTTTTTGTTTAGAATATTGTGAAAAGGTGCAATATTCTAGGCTCAAAGTGTCCCACTCTAATCAGCTAAATAAGCCATAACACCTGCAAAGTGTTCCTGAGCCTTTAAATGGTCTCTCAGTCTGGTTCAGTAAGAATCACAATCATGGGAAAGACTGCTGACCTGACAGTTGTGCAGAAAACCATCATTGACACCCTCCATAAGGAGGGGAAGCCTCAAAAGGTAATTGCAAAAGAAGTTGGATGTTCCCAAAGTGCTGTATCAAAGCACATTAATAGAAAGTTATGTGGAAGGGAAAAGTGTGGAAGAAAAAGGTGCACAAACAGCAGGGATGACCGCAGCCTGGAGAGGACTGTCAGGAAAAGGCCATTCAAAAGTGTTGGGGACTTTCACAAGGAGTGGACTGAGGCTGGAGTCAGTGCATCAAGAGCCACCACACACAGACAGATCCTGGACATGGGCATGGGAAATGTTGTATTCCTCTTGTCAAGCCGCTCCTGAAAGCGTCTTAACTGGGCTAAAGAAAAACAGACCTGGTCTGTTGCTCGGTGGTCCAAAGTCCTCTTTCCATCTTTTGCATCTCATTTGGAAACCAAGGAGTATGGAGGAAGAATGGAGAGGCACACACTGCAAGATGCTTGAAGTCCAGTGTGGAGTTTCCACAGTCTGTGTTGATTTGGGGAGCCAAGTCATCTGCTGGTGCTGGTCCACTGTGCTTCATTAATTCCAGGGTCAACGCAGCCATCTACCAAAAGATTTTGGAGCACTACATGCTTCCTTCCGCAGATGAGCTTTATGCGGATGCTAACTTCATTTTCCAGCAGGACTTGGCACCTGCCCACACTGCCAAAAGCCAAAAACCTGGTTCAATGATCGTGGGATTACTGTGCTTGATTGGCCAGCAAACTCGCCTGACCTGAACCCCATAGAGAATCTATGGGGCATTGCCAAGGGAAAGATGAGAGACATGAGACCGAACAATACAGACGAGCTGAAGGCCACTATTTCATAACACCTCAGCAGTGCCACAGGTTGATAGCTTCCATGCCATGCCGCATTGAGGCAGTAATTTCTGCAAAAGAAGCCCAAACCAAGAACTGAGCACATTTGCATGCTTATACTTTTCAGAGGTCCAATATTGTTCTATGTACAATCCTTGTTTTATTGATTGCATGTAATATTCAAATTTTCTGAGATTGTGGATTTGGGGTTTTCATGAGCTGTAAGCCATAATCATCACAATTATGACAAATCACGGCTTGAACTATATTGCTTTGCATGTAGTCTATCTCATATATTAGTTTCACCTTTTAAGTTGCATTACTGAAAAAAATGAACTTTTGCACGATATTCTAATTTTTCTAGTTTCACCAGTAGATGCTATGGGGGTAAATGATACACATGCTTCTTTGTGTGTATGGAAAGGTTGCAGGAGCAGAAGTATATCCTATAGACCTCTGCTGGCAGTGTGGGCTTTTAGAAGTACCAAAAGTGTCTCCAAGGCTGTCTCAAAATAAATCCATAACTCTATTAAAGTCACCGAGGCCTATCATTGGTAATTCTTCACCTGAACTTCAAAACTGTAAATCATTTAGGAATATTGACTAAATATAGAGGGAGAATACGCATTAGCAAAAATACAGGGAGTATTATCTACAGTGCTTCACATGAAGACGCATCTTCCTGGCTCGTCATTTTCAGTGTGCCTGCAGGTGACCGGTATAACCCGTCAAGAATAAGAGATGCGTCAAGAATAAAGTGCAATTGGACATTGTGATCGACCACAAACTAGCACATTATGACAGACTTAACATCAAACAGAATCCTATAGTGCAGTGCTGTCAAGGATCCCCGAACGCTTCCATCTTCCCTAGTGGTCCTTCCAGGTTTTAGATGTTTGGCTGCTTGAATCGCCGCGCTGCGGCGATTTCACTCCCGTGCATGTGCACAGGAGTCATATCGCCGCGCCACAGAAAGCAGGCCGTGAATGTGATCTGAGCTGTGCATGTGCAGCTCAGATCACATTACCTGCTGACAGGCAGAGAGAAAGAAGAGACCTCTAGGATTATAATTTTTATTACCAAGACTTTACTACCACTTTGTCAGTGTCCCACATCATAGACTTTCTCTGTTATTCTATTAGTCATTCCAATAGGCAGCAATATATCATCGTTGACAGGTATGGAGAGAATTCTGGTACCTACAGGGGCATAGAAGGATGGTATAGTGCAGCAATATACAGAGGAAATCAGGATTTTGCTTTTTGGTTTAGATATGCTTTAAAGAGACTAAGTTTCTTGCTTATCAATTGTCTGGGCAAATGTATAGGTATAGGTATGGGTTTTTGCAAAGCATGTGTATGTTTGTATATGTGTGTGTAATATATATATATATTTTAGTTATACATCCATGACCTGGTACCTGATCCATTATCTTCTGTTTCATTAAAGTTTCTGTCAAAGGTAACAGATGGTGATCTCTTTGTCCTTTGTAGAGTGACATTTGTTGACTGCATTCCAGACAGCACAATGTTTCCACGAGATGCCACTTCATAGTGCAAAGTGAAATTGCATAGACAGGTGGACTTCAAGGTAATTCGGGCATCCTCACCCACCTGCCATCAAGAGAGGCGAAACAAGTGACAAGACTCATGCTTCACTTTGTTCAAATTCATAGTCCCTAATCCTAGCGCATATTAAAAAGGTAGGTCAGTTTGCAAAAAAATGATGTTAATAATTATAATATAGAAAAAATAGAGATAATCCAATGGCACTCAGTAGGGCTGATTTACTAAACAAGCTCATAAAATTCACGCAATAAATTCTGTGAATACTCACTTCAATTATCCAATCTTGTGAAAAGCAAAACGCTGCTTACTTTTTTCATCTGCACATGATTGGATAACTGAAGTGAATTTTCACACAATTTATTGTGCAAAGATTCTCAACTCCGTTATTAAAGCAGCCTCTATTTGTGGCTCTAATTTAATATATATTTAACTAAAAACCATAGGGTGAAGGTGACATAAAGCAACTCTGTCAAGGTGAATAAAACATGATTGTCAAATAGGGTGTACATTTTTTATGCCCCACTCTGATGCACAAACCTAAGACACTACCAGGGATTGTTAAAGCTTGTCAGCCGTGTCCTGCCTCAAATACATTCATATTGGCCTACAACCATTACAGGCTGCCTCACTGCTCAATAAGAATGTGAGGGAGGTAGGGGGCTTGGGCAGGCGTCAACTGCACCTGACCAGACTGCCTGGATATTTATGTGTGTTGGCAGAAATTGGAGGTTACTGTAGGCACCTTTGTTTTACACCTGGCAGCAATTTCTTGGCTCGACAGATGTGTTTTAAAGCTTTCAGCATTCTCTAAAAATGTTCTCCTAGGACCCCTTTTCATTTCATACTAAAGGTAATTTGACATATCTGCTGCATGCACTAACTATATTCATTAAAGTGTAAATCTGTTTTACCTAAAAATAAGTGGCAACAGGTCCTATATGCAAGGCCCCTTTCACACGGGTAAGCAGGTGACAGGTCCGTGTTCGCTCTGCTGCAGCAGAGTGAACACAGCCCCAGCCTCCTGTCCTCTATGGTCGGTCGGATGGAAACGGACCACCTGTCCATTTCCATCCAACTGCCATCCCATCCGATGGATGGAAGGAGAATGGATCCCTGTCAGTCTCTTTTTGGTGGATTGGATTGGATGTCGGTGGGTGTAAACATAACACATATCCGTTTACACCCACCACTCCAAAGAGGAGAATAGAGGTTCTAATCGGGTCTTAAAAAACGGGCAGGCAGACCCGATCAGAACGTCCATGTGAAAAGGGCCCAATATATTTTTGCTACATGTTAAAATGGTTGTAAACCTGAAATAAAAAAAATTAATTAAGCAGTTTACAGTAAAGCATCGCAAGTCATCAGTGCCCAGTCTTGCAATGAAGTGTAAATCCATCATTGAAAAATCCTCTTCGCTTTCTAGCAGTGTTAAAACCCGACACATGACAGAAATTGGTGTCACCACACTCCTGCTGCTCTGACTGACATATTACGTATATCTCTCATGCACGGGCATTAGGGAAGTAGGAATGTGTCCAGCATTCCAGCAAAAGATTGCTTCCCTACATCTTTTAGCTCTCCCACGATTGGCTGCTCCGTGCCTCAACATTATTGAGCATGCTGAAGTCATGTGGTACCTTCCCTGATTTCCGATTGGATACTACTCGTGAGGGGGCATGCCAAGCCAACGTGGGTTTGTGCCATCCTTCTGTCATCCAGGAGATGTCATCCATCCTCTGTGTGTGACGTGCACGCACAGTGGGAACTTCAATGTCCGCACGCGATGCTAAACCACGCTAGTGTACTTGCCAGAGGGAGTGTAGAGATGGGAGGAGAGGCCTGTGAGGTCACCACTCCGCCTCCTGAGCTCAGGCATTCAGACATGCCCACCAATCTCCGATATGCATAGGGCTCATACAGGCACAGGGAAAAAGAATTTTCAGGTAAAACTACATCGATTTCATTTAGATATGTGGAAACATTTCTATGGTGCCTTTGTTTTATATAGCATGCACTGCAGGTTTACAACCACTTTAAAGGAGAAGTATAGCCAAAGCTCTTTTGGCTATACCTCTCCTATGGATCACAGCAGAGCAGTTTGTTCTGCACTCCTGTGACCCCTTTTCAACCGATAGCGGGCCAAAGCTGATGTTACATAGGTAGGCCAGGCTCTGGAAAGAACCTGGCTAAAGTCAGGATAAATATAAAAATATAAATATAAATAACTATAAATAGTATCCACCTAGACGCCTGGACCAGAAGCTAGCTTAGCCTTTCAACAGCCAGACCCTCTTACCCCCTCCACAGCCCCAGCGCTCCAGTGAGCACTGGAGGGGCAGAGCAGAGAGCCAGAAACTGACAGTCACCACTCTCTGCTCAGACTGGAGGGGGAGAACTGAGCGATCAGCGGGGTGTTAGAACGCTTGATTTTCTGTGTAGAGCCAGTGAGGAACAGCTGCAGCTGGGATCGTTGCTGCAGCCATCTAGGTGAGTATAATGTTTTATTTTTCTGTATTCCTGAGCTTCTCTTTTAAAGCTTGATACTAATGACATATGATAGGATAATCATAAAAACAGTGGATCACTTAATCTAATGTCAATATTTCTAATCACACAGTAGTACTTACTGAAGGGTTTTGGTGTTCTAATTTTAGTGCTCACAGTTTATTACGTTTTCATGCTCATGCTCAGATAGCCACGTAGTCTTGTATCTAGTGACATACTGGCATTAGATCCAGAGTTCTTTTCCTAACAGAGATGCTATTCCTAATGATACATAGCTAACATTTTTCCAATGTTTAAACTTTTTTGCTATGCAGACGCATGTCAAAATAACAATCTCCTATACAGACTCCCAGTACTCACCTGTACTTTTCCAGAGGCTGAATCAGTAGATGGCATTTGCTTGGAGAATACCAGCTACTTATGGACAAGTAGTTGGGCAAATATTGATCTCCTGTGGATTTCCCATCAATGGCTATTACTTTAGACTTTGAAACAGAGCAGACACATAAAAGGAAGAAGAGCAGAATATCTTATATACACAAAACACAAAGACTACCAAAGAGTGATAGTTGAGGCTTAAATATACAAAGCTGTCAAACTCACCTCCAGCCACACATATTGAGCAGCTGTTGGTATAGAGGGTATCTGAAACTCTACAAGTCCATTCTGAGATACAAGCTCACTAGTGTACACATTGTCTTTTGGGGCAAGTTCAGCTTTGATTCTTACAGTCACTCCATCTGCAGGGCTTCCATCTGGATATGAGACTTCAACCTAGTAACCAGTGAGATAAACTTGGGATCAAGAGCCACCAAAAGAAAAGCATAAAGACTTGGTAAATTTAAAGAAGAATAATCATATAGATGCACACCTACTAGTGAACAATAACAGTGGCTTAGTAGAGTTTTGGAGTATACAGCTAAACTTCATAAAAAAACATTACAAGAGGTATCACTCCAACACATCATGTCATATCATAACATATCATGTATAGCAGTTACTAATAGAAAAAAGGAAAACACAGGAGACAATCAATGTCGACTATAAGAGCCCAAGATATTAGATAATCAACAGAGATGTTCTCTAGTGCATCATGGATCCAAAGACAAAGAGAAAAAAAAATGGGATGAGAAAGATAGAAAAGAAGAGTAAAGAAAAAAGAAGAATTATGTAGATCATGGAAAAGGTAAATTATGTTCCACCTAGGTAGAACATTAAGCCGTATGACAGGGTATGAAAAAAATCCCCGAAGAGGAGATATTTTGACCAAATGAATGTGTCCTCACATTCAAACATCACAGGGAACCTGACATCATTAAATGCCAATTCAACACACCCATTAGCAAGAAATCACCCTTACGTTGAAGCCCTAAGAAAAAGACTTGCTGAAAACACTGCCCACCCTGGAACTCAATGACAAGCCTAGAGCTGTGACTCCAATTCCAATCATACATCAGGGTCAGTGGAGCAACAACAAGGAAACCTATCAGGATGTTAAAGAACAAGCAACTGAATAGAACCAGAGTAAGGAAGATCACCAGAGAGTCAGCAAAACAAACACAAAATAATGGCAGAAACCTGGGTGCATAGATCCCATGGAGACACTGGACCATTTCCTGCCACAAGAAACTAGTTTGCCCATCACACAGATAGTTCAGGAAATCTCGAAGCATTCCTCCAACATCCTTGAAGAGCACCTAGGTTCCTGGACCACTTCCCCATGTCTAAAAGTGGACATTTGGGAAACCTGACCTTTGAAAAGAACAGGACCACCAGGAGTGGAGTACAGGGTTGTGTCCAAGTAAGAATCCAAACAAAAGCCAAAGCAAGATCCCATTTGTCCTCGATGGTAGAGGAACTCCATCACTGTGATACTGTCAGATGATATCTCTGTTAGGAGACCTGTCCAGGGAATGATTCCGTGCTGCAGAGAGTACCAATGGTTCTGGCACTACAGAGTGCAGATCAGGAGATGAAGGTGACATGACCTTTCAGAATAAAACAACCTTCACCAATCCTAAACGACTGAGCTACCTGTTTCTCATAGGAAGGCAGTTTTGTCTACTTATAACACAATCCACAAAAGCAGACAGAAGGTCTAAAGAGACAGAGAAAAAAACTGACATGATGAGGATGACTCCTCAACCTAGAGTTCTGCAGCTGATAAATCTGTAACCTTCTGATCAAGAGAAAGAAACATGAGGGCGAGAAAACTGTAGTGTTCTACAGCAGGACCATGGTGGCTTGAGCTACCTGCAGTCTATAAAGAATAACCCATGTCATTTGCTGCTGATAAAAGATCCAACCAAATCTCTGAGGCATTTTGACCTACAGGTAGGCATTGTCTACTAGAGGCCATGTTGACCATGATCTCCATGTGAGGGAATTTGAGAGTCCAACAATGTGTGTGCCATGGGACATATGGTGGATGCAATGGGGCAGAAAGCACTGAGAAAAATCTGGGAAATTGGGGAGAACTAAAGCCGATAGAGGTTGATGAGCAAACTCTGCACAACTTGGCTGACCATGAGAGTCAGAGGGTCCTTCTGAGAATGAATATAGATCATAGTTCTGGTGGATCCCCTGTAAAACTGCTGGTTTTATATGGTCCAAAGGTTGCAAACATTTACTCTGTTAGGGGAAACCTAGAAAGTCTAAAATACAAGATACCCAAGAGCCCACAAGGATTTCCAAATATCCCCCCCCACTTGAAAAAGTACCATGCACCTTTATGCTAGTGTCAGGGCAGGGCTGTGGAACGGACAGGTAGGCCTAGTGGCAGGGTAACGCACTGGCTGACGACAACCACCACCAACAGACCGAAGTCCCTCAGGGCGCGGAGTCTAAGTCCCAGGCTGCCCTTCACCAGGGCCCCTGATGGTGGGGATGGACTTGACGCAGCCAGGAACCAGGTCGCGGCCCCCGAGACACCCCGGCTGCGGTAATGGCCGCCGCCAATGGCGTGTAGCTGGTGAGAATGACAATAGCGTAGCCAGGCAAGCCGGGTCAACAACAACGGGACAAAACAGTACAGAACAGTAGACAGAGAATCACAGGTCATGGGCCGGGTTCAGCAACGGAAGGTCAGATCGAAGGGAAACACAGAGAATGGTCTTAGTCACAAGCCGAGTCAGAATACCAGAAGAGTCACGAGCGTATACACAGAGCTGTAGCAAGACAAAGACACAAGACACAAGTGCAAAGGGCATGTGCAGATCCCAGGCTTATATGTACTCAGCCACACCCCTCTGGGGGATGGACCTCAGAGACCTGAAGGCATAAAAGATTCCCATCATGCTCAGCAGAAATCCAAGATGGATGCCAGCACATGGAGTAACATAACCTCTGGGAAAAGGTAGGACCTTGACAGCTAGTCAAGGCTTCCCAGGGAAGATTTTAGCAGATTTTTGTCCTCTGATCTTGCAGGTGGCTAAAGAACCAGGTTTGGAAGCCTTGGGAGCAACTACTCATGAAGTAGGAGAGTTAAAGGTGGCTTAGCTGACCTTTAAATCCATTTCTTGCACTGAGGCAGGTGGACACTCTAGTCTCCAGTGATCTCCCTGAACATGAAAGGTAGCTCTGAAGAGATACCATCCCTCGAAGACTAAATGAGTCTGGTGATCCTTTGATGCAGTGTCTGCATTCCAGCATTTTAGCTAGAATGCTCTGTGCATTTGTATGGACAACAGACCCATACAGGAGATAACTGGAAAAGCTTCCAGCAGGCTATCACAGCTGAAGCGTAAAGTCCCAGTCATCTGCTTCATACACGTGATCAGTAAAGGATCCACTGCTGCAGTAAATATATTTCTTTTGATTGGTTTAGCTCATTCTAATACTGTTTGTCAAATGAAGGTCGCAGCCAGAATAGGACAAACAGTAAAGCCCACCAATGGGAACTTAAAAAGGAATTCTTCCAGTTTGTATGTAGAATCCTTGAATGTGAGGATGACCTCTGCTTACCTAGTGTTTCCATTCTAAGGTGGGTCACTAGTAGATTAACAGTGGTTATACATTATGGTTTAGCAAAATCCTTCCCAAATGGGAACAATTCCAGTAAATACTCTAGGGTGCCCAGAACCCATCAAGGTGCCTCCAATTGCATAAATGAATACCTCAAAGAGTGGATGTAATGGCAATTCAAGTCAACAAAAACAAGACCATGAGCGCACACACAATTAAAAAAATAGTTTGTGCTTTTAATTCCTCTCTGCTATCTACTCCATCTGACAAAAGCGTGTAGACATGTTTAGTTCTCTTTAGAAAATGGATTTGTCCCTAGGTGTAGCACTAACACTCGATTTTACTTGGAAAGATGAGAAGCCCCATCCCTAAACTGATGAGTTATCAATTTCGGTACATCAGAAAAGTCAGTCAGAAATGGTGTACATAGGCACTTTGTTGTAACTTACTTTTCCTTGATAAGGCAAGCCTGGCTTGAACTGTTTCCGAGTATCTTTGCTATATTTGATATCGATCAGCTGTTTTTGGACTAGGGTAGTGTCATCAGATGTAACCTGCTTGCTGCCATCTACAGCAGTTACAGTGGCCCAAATGTTGACTGTCCCTCGAAAATGCTCTGAGAAATCTACTGGCATCATATCTTTGGCACAGATGTCAAACATTCCTGATCCATAAATCTGCAGTAGAGAAAAGAATCACAATTTAAATATTTATGTGACAGAGAATGTAACTGCAATTTCTAGATGTTTCAGAACAAAAGATCATTTAGAGCAGCGGTTCTCAACCTGTGGGTCGCGACCCCTTTGGGGGTCGAACAACCCTTTCACAGGGGTCTCCTAAGACCATCGGAAAAACACATATTTCCGATGGTCTTAGACTCGAGACACCGCTCCTCTATCGGTCTCCATGCGGGTCCGCCCACATGCAGATACGTCCACATTTCCCTGGACCGCGATGTGTGCACAGGATGACATGCCGCCCCTGTCATCTGGCCACATCCCCAGGATCACTCAACAGCTCCGCCTCCTCGCCAGTGATTGGCCACTGGAACTGTAGCTCAGGAGAGGCACACAGGCAGCCAATCACAGGCGAGGAGGTGGAGCTTGGAGAGGAGGAGCCGAGCAGCAGCGCAAAGATCAAAGAAGATCGAGCGAGGGAGTGGCCGGAGAAGGAAGACAGCTGACAGGTAAGTGTCTGCAGCGTGCAGATGGTGCTGCTGCAGCCAGGTATGCTGGCTGTAGATGGGAGAGGGAGGGAGCGAGCCCAGGCTGGAGCAGGAGTCAGCAAGGTAAGTATCATTGGTGTCAGTGGGAGGAATAGTGCCCCATCATTGGTGTCACTAATACCAATGATGGGGCACTATTCCTCCCACTGACACCAATGATGGGGCACTATTTCCTCCCCCCCACTGACACCAACGATGGGGAACTATTCCCTCCCCCCACTGACACCAACGATGGGGCACTATTCCTCCCCCCACTGACACCAACGATGGGGCACTATTCCTCCCCCCACTGACACCAACAATGGGGCACTATCCCCCCCCACTGACACCAATGATGGGGCACAATTCCCCACCACACTAGTATCAATGATGGGGCACTATCCCGCCCCCCCACTGACACCAATGATGGGGTACTATTTCTCCCACTGACACCAACAATGTGACACTATTCCTCCCACTGATACCAATGATGGGACACTATTCCTCCCACTGATACCAACGATGGGACACTATTCCTCCCACTGACATCAGTGATGTGGCACTACTCCTCCCACTACAAAATTACAGTTATGAAGTAGCAACGAAAATAATTTTATGGTTGGGGGTCACCACAACATGAGGAACTGTATTAAAGGGTCGCGGCATTAGGAAGGTTGAGAACCACTGCTTTAGAGGTACTCTGACTTTAGGATCATAAGCATTTTTGCCATACCAAGCTTTATAAAATTTACAGGCAAGAAATATTGCACTTTTACTAAGGAAACATGCACATACCTTGCTCCCTAGAAATCTCTGTAAGCATAGCATCTATGTGCAGATGCCTTATAGGATTGATTTCAAATGTGTATTGTGATAATGCATTACTGATAATGATTTTTGTGCACATTTGTGATTTTGCTGTGTTTGTCTTACACGTTCTTGCATATTGTGCATAGTATGTGTTGAAACACAGTAAACACATAGGGGTTTATTTACTAAAGTTGGAGAGTGCAAAGTCCGACTCACTTCTGCATACAAACCAATCAGCTTCCGGGTTTTATTCCCAAAGCTTAATTGAACAAGCTAAGGTTAGAAGCTGATTGGTTTCTATGCATAAGTGAGCCCGATCTTGCACTCTCCAGCTTTAGTAAATAATCCCCATATGGTCTCTCATGTGCATACTGATGAAGTAAAATTCATACAAGCTGTACTTTCTGTAACATACTGCAACCCAGAGATAAAAGCAGGCCACTGACTCACTGGGGAGTTAAACCATGATAAAGATGAAAGCCCTAGAGTTGGCAGCTTGTGGACATTGGACATGTTACACATACCTAAAAAAACGTAAAAGAATTACAAAGGGTGTGTGTGTAGTATGCCCTGCCCTTCTCCCCCGCAGCCACTTCCCTCGCATTTGCCAACAACTCCCAGCTGTCAAAATGATGGGCATTCTTACACAGTGTTTATTAACACTATTCAGATATGGGAGGATAAGGAGATAAAAAGTCACATTGGAACCAGACAAGTAAAAAAAAAAAAAAGGCTTGTTTGCTTTTTTTAATATAATTTTTAATACATTTTTTTTCTTTAGGTACCCAGTTTACCTTAACTACCTTATTTGTCCCCTTCGCCTCTTAGCTATAATTTTCCTGCTATTTTGCAAGCACTTTTTGCATGCGGACTACGCGGACCAACACTTAACTAAAGAGTCCTGTCATGTTTATGACAGTAGACTCATGCAGAAGATTAGGCTGAAGACCTTCAACAACTCACCACAATGCAGTTCCCCAGTTTCAAATGCTCTGTAATAAAACAATCAAATGCCATAGTGATGAAACAGGTTACCACGACAGGTTGCAATGCAGGGTCTGCTAATGAGAATAGTATTCTAGAAAGGGCTTCTGCTTGCCTAACAATCCACTGGGATGGTGGACGTGTTGTTAAAGATGGCATAAACTCTAGAAAAAGGCAAAATTCTAGGCCCTCAGTGTTATGCACCTCAGGGAGCACATTGCAGGCAGTACTGGAACTGTTGGTGGAGTATGAGCTGGATGCACTTGGTAACGTGGAAATGTCCCCTATGTGTCTAGAGTCAGACAGGTTGCACCACATGGCAGAGGCAACTTAGCACAAGGTACGAACCTAAGCCTCAGACATTCACATAACATGCTGCTGAAGGTGACCAGGTCACTGTAGACAGGCAGTAGGGAAGAGCCAAACAAAGCTGGCTTCCTGGTGCTTCCTTTGAATTCTGGTGCTGAATGGCAGGAAAGAGAGTGTACACGTGACACTCAACCCAGCAGATAGTCCGTCAGCTTTAACCTTTTCAGTGGTGAGACTGATGGAAAGCAGAAAAAAATAGAGGCACCCAAGGGTCCTAGTGGAGGTAGCTCCTGATGCTTGGCCAGCACATCCTACTTACAAAGTGAGACAGGGACATGCGCTGGGCCTTTGCAATGGCTCTGGACCTAAAAAATGCTCTGCAGTTCATATTTACCAGCATACACAGATCATGAAAGCATAACAAGGCGCAGCCCAGTGCCTTAAGGTCACATTCCAGGCTAGCCCCACAATATCCAGTCCAGAGGGGTGGGATACAGTACTCAAAGACTGATTTGGAAAGCTGCATATAGAGACCAGCTCAGCAGCAATGTAGTAGGAATCATGACATAAAAAAAAGGTAGCCAGCAAAAGTTTATACTTTTCTCAACAAAGCAGAAAAAATGCAACATTCCAGAAAACTAAAAAACTCTGAAAACTGTTGGACATAAGAGGGGTCATCCAGGGCTAGCCCACATTTTTGGTTTTGCCAGTTTACAATTCTCCTGTAGACAGCAGAATAATTCAACCCTACAAGACATCCTGGGGTTTATTTGCTAAAACTGGAGAGTGCAAAATCTGATGTAACTGTGCATGGTAGCCAATCATCTTCTAACTTCAGCTTGTTCAATTAAGCTTTGACGAAAAAAAACTGGAAGCTGATTGGTTTCTGTGAAGAGCTGCACCAGATTTTGCACCATGCAGTTTTAGTGAATCAAACCCCCTGTGTCTCACAATGGATGAGATTTCAGATTTGATAGAATGTTTTGATTTGACCTTTGATATTACTCAAGGCCAAATGGTGATCCAGGCCCAACTGGAGAAAGGTCAGAGTGCGGTCCACTAAGTATTTCCTTGAATGGAAATTCCTTGTCTTGCACCATGTAAAGAACCCCTTCCAAGTGCGATGGTAAACCTTGCAAGAAGAAAATTTCCTAGGAGAGCAGGAACAACAAAAACAGACAAGTCTCTATCTTTTAGGACCTTGCTTCAAGGGACATCAACCAAGGACAAAAGATCTGGGAGAGCCCACAGAGAGTATAATAATAAGCACTGGAATGACCTCTGTCTCGAATATGCAAAGCAGGCAAAGAAAAATCTTTCAAGTATAGAAGGCATGGATCAAGTTTTACTGATCCAGCTAAGTCACCAGAGCATCCACTGCTGTTGCTAGAGGATCCCTGGACCTAAAGACAAACTTGGTCAGTTTGTTCTTGAATTGAATCTGGATTTCCCCACCTGCATCAGAGATCTTGAAACTCCTCTGGGTGAAGAGGTAATTTCCCCTGAGTCCAGAAGTTGTCTACTGAGGAAGACTACCTGCAAATTCTCACACCTGGAATGTGCACGGTGGACAGGGCTAGAATGTTAAATTCCGCTTAAGCCAGAATCTGGACGGCTTCTATTTGAGCTGCAATACCTCTTGTTCCCCCCAGATGGCTGATGCATGCCACCGCTTGGGCATTTCCCAAATTAATCTGGGCTTGATTACCTTGCAGTTGAGAGGTCATGGCTTGAATTCAGAGAAGGACTTCCTCCAGTGACTTTGCATTGATATAGTGTCCAGTACTCCTCTCCAACATCTCAGGTTGGAATTTGTTGGGAGCAAACAGGCAAAGTATAACCAGATGTCTGACACAATATCCAGAGAATGTGCCTTCCTGTCCCAGACAGCCAGAGCAAACTGCAACGATCTGGAGTGGGCAAGGGGACCACCTTGAATTAGGTCAGTATTAAGCTTGTAAATTTCACGCAGAAACAGAGAGTTGGACAGATCCTGGACTGCAGGACCTTAATAAGGGAGAGGGGAGTCAGCAATCTGTCTCTATCAGGAAGATAAATCCTGGACTTAGCAGTAACAAGAAGGAGACATCAATACTCCAAGCAATGGGTCGGTTCCAGCACTGATTTTTTTCTGGAGGTTCAGGATCCAACCAAACCACTAGCGAATTTGAACAGTTTACTGGATATAGAAAAAGGGAAAAGCAATGAACCCCTGGGGAAAATTCACTAAAACTGGTGCACACATAATCTAGTGCAGCTGTGCTTAGTAACCAATAAGCTTCTAAATTCAGCTTGTTCAAGTAAGCACAACCTAAGACAAAAAAAAACCTAGAAGCTGATTTGTTTACTATGCACAGT